CCAGTGGCTGCCCATTTTCGGCACACCCCTCACACGTTTCGTGGCCCCATAGGGAGCTCCACCGAAGGCCCCAGTGGCAGGGTCCGCATGCCTCCCCACCACCCATTTCGGCACACCCCTCACACGTTTCGTGGCCCCATAGGGAGCTCCACCGAAGGCCCCAGTGGCAGGGTTCGCATGCCTCCCCACCACCCATTTCGGCACACCCCTCACACGTTTCGTGGCCCCATAGGGAGCTCCACCGAAGGCCCCAGTGGCAGGGTCCGCATGCCTCCCCACCACCCATTTCGGCACACCCCTCACACGTTTCGTGGCCCCATAGGGAGCTCCACCGAAGGCCCCAGTGGCCTGGTTCGTATGCCTCCCCAACACCCATTTCGGCACATCCCTCACACGTTTCGTGGCCCCATGGGGATTTCCATTGAAGGCCCCAGTGACTGGGTTCGCATGCGCCCCCACACCAATTTCGGCACACCCCTCACACGCTTCGTGGCACCATAGGGAGCTCCACCGAAGGCCCCAATGGCAGGGTCCGCATGCCGCCCCCACACCAATTTCGGCACACCCCTCACACGTTTCGTGGCCCCACAGGGAGCTCCACCGAAGGCCCCAGTGGCTGCGTCCCCATGCCGCCCCCGCACCAACTTCGGTGCACCCCTCACACGTTTCGTGGCTCCATAAGGAGCTCCACCGAAGGCCCCAGTGGCAACGTTCGCATGCCGCCCCCACACCCATTCCGGCACACCCCTCACAACTGCATATGGTTGGGTCCTTCGCCAGGCAAATTTAGTTGTCACCCAAAGACGGTTCCGCCAAGCGTTTTGATAGTAATACTGCAGCTACGGACCTGAGAATTCGACTGGCGAACGCGGCATAACCCACTACAGCTAAAAATACCGGTTCTTCACGAATGTTCAAACTTGGAACCGGCGGTAAACCGTCAAGCAGGTTACCGCCGGGGCCCTCGTAGAGCTCTTCTCTCGCACGGCGCTCCTCGGTACACAAAAGGAAGCGTCTGGAGCAAGACCGGAAAAACTCGAAAAATCACGCTTATACGTTTTATTCAAGGACGGTTCTGCCAAGTGTTCTGATAGTAATAAGGCAGCTACAGACGTGAAAATTTGACTGGGAGACGCGGCATAATCTACTACAGGTGCGAAATATCTGCTTTCTTCAAATAAATGGTCAAAGATTTTCACATCTTAGCAAAACCGACCCAAAGTTGTCACATTGTCCTTTCTGGCCGGCTCGATCAACTAGCTCCACTCCGCGCCGGAATTCCTCTAGCTCATCGATGCCGAAGAGCTGTACGAGGTATCTCTCACAAAGTTTGTCGAACCGACCCAAAGTTCGCACATTGTCCGTCGGGGCCGGGTCGGCCAACTGGGCGCCCACAGTAAACGGTCAACCTTTCTTTCCGCCGGAGAGTAGAGCTTCCTGACCATGTATAATGTCAAAAAAAGTGAAGACAAGGAATAGTTTTTCAGCCCGAGCGATTTCAGACCTCTCGATGCAACAGCGATGTCAGACCTCTCGATGCTTCTCGATCGTTTTCTGTGCGTACCAGCTCGTAGCTATCCTTCAGCCCGAGTTCAATACAGAAAAGGGACAACATCTGCCAAGGCACAAGAATACGAATAGTTTTCCTAGCCCGGGAAGCAAAGCGAGTTCAGATCTCTGGATGCAACAAACAAACGCGCACGAAGATATAGAGTCAGTTTCTGTGCGTATCAGCTCTGTAGCTGTCTAACAGCCCGAGTTACGTACGAAAATCGACAGCATCTCGCGAGATGACTCGAACAATACGAATAGTTTCGCAGACTTAGCTGGAGTAGCAGACCAAGTTCAGACTTTCGCTCCCAATCGATTCCTGTAATTACCGGCCCTGTAGCCGCCCTACAGCCCGAGTTAAACAGCAGCTCTCAAGATGACTCGGACAATACAAACAGTTTTGCAGACCTAGCTTCGGCAGCAGTTCAGAGCTCTGGACTCAACAGACAAACGCGCCTCATCATGTCAGATCGGTTTCTGTAAGTATGTGCTATGTAGCTGTCCTATAGCAACAGGTCGAGATGACTCGAAACGGCCGATCCCGCCTGCCTGCTCTTTGGCGGTAGAAGGTACCCGATCGAGTTGAGATCAAGATGGCGAGCGGAAATCAGATCGAATATAATGAGAAAGAATACAGAGCTCAAGCGAATTGAGGAATTTCGAGAACAAAATTTTGAACCGACCAAAAGTCAAAAGGTCTGTCGAGACAAGCAGCCGGCGGCAAACCGTCAACCTGGTTATCGCCGGGACCCTCGTAGAGCTCTTCTCTTGCACCTCGCTGCTCGGAACAATGCGAGAAGCTTCCCTCCGCATGAGCTCAAAAACTAGAAAATTTTGTTTTTTGTTAGCAATCTGGGCGCCGGCAATAAAACCTTCAACCTTTCTTGCCGCCGGGGGACTCGTAGAGCTTCCCGACAATATATAATGTCGAGAAAAAAAGGATAATAGTTCTTAAGCCCAAGCGATTTGACCTCTCGATGCAGCAGCCGAACGCCCCCGATGCTTCTGAATTGTCTTCTGTACGAGCTCTGTAGCTCTCCTGTGCGTATATCGACAGCACCTCTCAAGATGACTCAGAAAAAAATTGGCAAACCCAGACCGAATTCAGACCTCTGAATGCGACAGGCGGACGCGTCTGATGTCTCCGAATCGATTCCTGTAATTACCAGCCCTGCAGCCCCCCTACAGCCCGAGTTAAGTGCAGAAACCGACAGCACCTCTCAGGGTAACTCGAACAATACGAATAGTTTTGCGGGTATAGTTCGGGCAGCAGACCGAGTTCCGAGCTCTCGATTCGACAGGCGGACACACCTGATGTCCAAATCGATTCCTGTAACCACCAGGACTGTAGCCCCGGCCCGAGTTAAGTGGAGATAATTCGAACAAGTTTCGCGATTCTAAATCGGGCAGCAGACCGAGTTCAGAGCTCTGCATTCAACAGACAAACGCGACGGATCATTCTGAATCAGTTTCGTTTCTGTGATTATCAGCTCTGTAACTGTCCTATAGCTCGAGTTTAGTGCAGAAAACCGAGAGCGCAAATCGAATAATAGGAATAGATTTACAAAGCTAACTCGGCTGGCAGACCCAGTTCAGACCTCCAGATGCAACAAACGAACGCGCCTGATCATTCTCAATCGATGTGCTTACCAGCTGTGTAGCTGTTATGTATCCCGAGTAAAGTCCAATATTGACAGCGCGTATCAAGATGACTCGAAACGGCGGATCCCGTCTGAATCTTAAGCTTCCAGCAACAACTTGTTAAGGGAAGCTCTACGAGTTAAGTCAGTTGCTCCAAGTGTTTTCATAATGATACTGCACCTGCGAATCTGAGGATTTAACTGACAGGCGCGAGAAAACTCACTACAGGTGCGAAAAATCTGGTTTCTCAAAAAGAATGCTCTTTGAAACTGGCGTCGGCGGTGAACCGTCAACCTGGTCACCGCCGGCAACCTCATAAAGCTCCTTGCACGCGTGAGAGTGCTCAGCATCAAAAGAGAGGACTTGGAAGCATTTCTCGAAGAAGAGACAACCTGATTTTTTTTATGTCGACATGAAGTTGGTTCCGCCATGTCTTGATAGTGCACCTGAAGACACGCAGAGGCCTCATAGTCCACAGGTGCGGAAAATATGCCTTCTCAAAATAAACTGGGAACCGGCGGTTAACCGTCAACCTGCTAACCGCCGGGAACCTCGTAGAGCTCTTTTCTTGCACGGTGACCCTCGAAACACATGAAGAAAGCTTCTGGAGCAAGAACGAAAAACTCGAAAAATCGCGTCTTTCTGTTCTTATGCAACGTCGGTTGCTCCAAATGTTTTGATAGTAATAGCACTTACGGACCTGAGAATTTGACTGGCAGACGCGGCATAACCCACTACAGGTGCTGAAAATCTAGTTTCTGAAAATGAATTGTCAAATGTCTTGCAAATATTTGCTAAACCGACCCAAATGTGTCACATTGTCTCTTTTGATCGGGTCGGCCAACTAGATCCACCCCGCGCGGGAATTCCTCTAGCTTATCGATGCCGAAGAGCTCTACGAGATATATTGAAATATCTTTCAAATCCTAGCAAACCCGACCCAAAGTTGCCATACTGGAACCGGCGGTAAACCGTCAACCTGGTCTTTTTGCGTCTTTTGCGAAGGCCGGTTCGAGCTCCCATGGGAGCAAGCCTAAACACAAAGAACCTAAGCAGCGAAGCTGCAAAGATTAAGTACAAGTGCACAAACAGCGAAGCTGTACAGGAATGCACAAGTATACCATACACGAGAATGCAACTCAAAAATTGATGGAAGCAAAGCAGTGCGAGACCATGCAGTAACCACATATAGCGATTACCGTCTCAGCACCACTGAAAATAAAAGCAGTGAGAGACCATACAGTAACCACTGGTTTATACAGCGATTACCGTCTCAACACCACTGAGACAAACACAAAACTAACAACTAGAATGACGAGGACACTCCAGTCCTCTTTGAGGCAACCGTAGTGTCGACAGATCAAAGGCCTACTTTGAGGCACCACGTGACAAATCACGGAAAGTCACGTTCAAAGGTCAATGAGCAATCAAAAAAAGGAAGCAACGAATGCACTCAATCAATGAAGAAAGGCAACGCAATGACAAATCAAGCGTGCAGGATCAATCGCATGTGCATCATCTGTGCCGTTTCCGATGCTTCTTGCCGCTGCGCGTCAATGCACTCCTGGAAGTAAAACTCTGAGGACCCCCTTGTTGCGAATCATCCTCCTCGGAACTTTCAATTCCCAATTGCAGCCTGTATGCATTAAGAGCCTCAGTCCTACGCTGAAACTCCTGCGTCGGGAGTCGGTGTAGCTCAAGCCAAAGAGCCCTCATATCGACACCGGCAAGGGCCCAGTCCCTGGCAGCTTGGCACTCAGAGCGTGTCTCACTCGGTCGATCTGCAGAACTCCCATTCATGGAACTCCCTACTGCATTAGCTGAACTCCCAACTGCAGAACTCCCAGCTGTTGAACTCCCAACTGCATCCTCAACTGCATCAGCGGAACTCCGAACTGTGGAACTTCCTACTGCACTCCCAAGTGTTGAACTCCCGACTGCACTGGAACTCCCGACTGCATCAACTGTACTCAAAACTGCGGTACTCTCCACCGCACTCCCGTTGGTCGCATGCAATTCTGAAGTGTGCAACTTTGTACTCTCGATAGTCTCCGTTCGTTTGAAACAGTATCTCTTCATTCTGAGAGAAGCATCACCCCGATCAACGCGCACTCGATGACACTCCTCCTTCTCCCCCTCACCAACATGAACAAAATCCTCCTCAGCCACCTCCTCCTGCTCCATCTTAGCAACTGCTTCACTATGAACATTCTCCTCCTCCTCGTCCTTGCAGCCAGGGTTCGATGCCACAGCATCAGCTGAACTCCAAACCGCGGCACTCCCAACTGCAGAACTCCCAGCTGTTGAAATCCCAACTGCATCCACAACTGCATCAGCGGAACTCCGAACTGTGGAACTTCCTACTGCACTCCGAACAGTGGAACTCCCGACTGCACAGGAACTCCCAACTGCAGAAGCATCACCCTGATCAGCGCGCACTCGATGACACTCCTCCTTCTCCTCCTCACCAACAAAGAGAACACAAAGATCACTCTGAGTCCCACACTCAATGTGAACACAGGGATCTGCCTGAGTCCCACAATCGGAACACTGCGAACGCAAAGAGTTGCCAGCCAATTCAACAGCATCCATATCAGTCTGTGTTCCACAAGTGTCCTCAACCCACTCCTCTTCCTCAGAATCGTCCGAGCAGAAATTCCGATAATATCTGGGCGCGAAAATGCCCGCGCGAACAAGGCACGACGGATCTGGCCCCCGAGCCGTGGACCACAAACGATACCTGACACGTTTCGCCCGCAGGCGGCGCAACTTCGATTGAGAAACTTTGACACCATGCCCATACAGCTGGTCTCGCTCACGCATGCGAGACTCACCTCCGTACGAAGGGCGAACACGGCAATATAGATCACTAACACACACTTCGACCGTAAACAAACGAGCAGACAAACAAGCGAGAGACTCGGAAGTAAACAACGCCGTATCTGTCAAATCTGAAGCAAGAAAATCCGCGCCTGACAATTCAGATGAAACAAACTCCATATATAAAAACGTGGACTCGCTCTACAAGAAAGCAAATCACAAGCAATAACTAGATGGACAGTTGAGATAACCAAGGAAAATGCTGTCCCAACGATACTCCGACAATCTCAACAATTATATGCACTCCGACGACAATCAATAAGAGGCCTTCGACAATCAATAAGAGTGTACGGTACTCAGGCAAAACAGACACTGAAGCACCGTGTACGGTAAAGAGAACCAAACGCCAGGCACGGCACGATGCCGCTCGAGAAGGCCTCCGACGGGCCAGGTCGCCGCTGAGATCCCGAGGAGGGACAGCAACAACCTGGTCACCGACAGGAACCTCGTAGAGCTCTTTTCTTGCTTGACGATAGTCGGAACACATGGAGGAAGCTTCCGGAGCCAGAAACAAAAAACTTTAAAAAACACGTTTTTCTCTATGAATCCAACGTCGGTTCCTCCAAGTGTTTCCATGGTAATACTGCACCTATCGGCCTGAAAATTTACTGGCGGACGCGCCATAACCCACTACAGGTTCGAAAAATCTGCTTTCTCAGAATAAATTGTCAAATGTCCTTCAATGTTTCGCAAAACCACCCAAAACTTGGTAGCATCGAACTGGGAACCGGGGGTAAACCGTCAACCAGATTGGCCAGGGCCCTCGAAGAGCTCTTCTCTCACGGCGCTCCTCGGTGAGCATGAAGAAAGCGTCCAGAGCAAGACCTGATAAACTCGAAAAAATACGTTTGTCTGTTTTTATCTAACGTCGGTTCCGCCAAGTGTTTTGATAGTAAAACTGCACCTACAGATCTGAAAATTTTACTGATGGACGCGCTATAACCCACTACAGGTGCGCAAAATCTGCTTTCTCAAAATGAATTGTGAAATATCCTTCAACTGGGCGCCGGCGGTAAACCGTCAACCTTTCTTACCGCCAGGGGACTCGTAGAGCTATAGCTCTTCTACAGCCCGAGTTACGTGCGTAAATCGACAGCACCTCTCAAGATGACTCTAACAAAACGAATAGTTTGGCAAACCCAGCTCGACTATCAAACCGAGTTCAGACCTCTGAATGCGAGAGGCGGACGCGTCTGATGTCTCCGAATCGACTCCTGCGATTACCAGCCCTGCAGCCTCTCTGCAGCCCGAGTTAAGTGCAGAAAACCGTCAGCACCTCTCAGGATGACTCGAACAATACAATAGTTTCGCAAACCTAGTTCAGGCAGCAGACCGAGTTTTGAGCTCTGGATTCGACAGGCGGACGCGCCGATGTCTTAAAATCGATGTCTGTGACCACCAAGACTGTAGCCCCCCTTAGCCCGAGTTGAGTGCAGAAAACTGAGAGCACTTCTCAAGATAACTCTAAAAATACGAATAGTTTCGTGATTCTAGATCGGGCAGCAGACCGAGTTCAGAGCTCTCAATTCAACAGACGAATGCGACTGATCATTCTGAATCGGTTTCTGTAAGTATCAGCTCTGTAGTTGTCTATAGCTCGAGTTAAGTACAGGAAACCCAGAGCGTCTGTCAAGATGACTCGAATAAAGCTAATATCTTTGCGGACCTAGCTCGGCTAGCAGACCGAGTTCAGACCTCTGAATTCAACAGAGGAACGCGCCTTATCATTCTGAATCGATTAGCTGTGCTTACCAGCTCTGTGGCTGTCCTGAAGCTCGATTATGTTCAGAAAACCGTCATCGCGTGTCAAGATGACTTGAACCGGCCAATCCCGCCTGCCTGCTTTTTAGCAGTAAAAGGTACCCGATCGAGCTCAGATCAAGATGGCGAGCGGGAATAAGATCGAATATCACGGGAAAAAATACTAGAGCTCAAACGAATTGAGGAATTAGAGAACAAAATTTTCAACCGACCAACATTCACCAAAAGGTCCGTCGAGATTTTTCTTGCCAACTAGCTCTCCAGCCCCCGGAGTTACTCTTAAGCTTCCAGCAACAACTTGCTAAGGGAAGCTCTACGAGTTACTGGCGCCGGCGGTAAACCGTCAACCTAGTCACCGCCGGGAACCTCGTAGAGCTCCTTGCACTGGAAAGAATGCTCAGGATGGAAGCAGACTCGTGGAATGAAGATTTTGCAAAAATCTTAATTTTCGATCAATTTTTCGCACAACCACCGAACGGTTATCACTTTGTCCTTTCTGGCCGGGTCGGCCAACTAGCTACACCCCGCGCCGGAATTCTCTAGCTCACCGATGCCAAAGAGCTCTACGAGGTAAACCCGAAGCAAAGAGGGCACACACCTGCAAACCCGGATAGCCAAGCGCGAGCGCGCGCGCGGACGCGTCTCGTCGCCCAAAGTTCAGACCTCTGGATTCAAATGGCGAACGCGCCTAATCATTCTACATCGATTAGCTGTGCTTACCAGCTTGTAGCTGTCCTGAAGCTCGAGTTATGTTCAGAAAACCGTCAGCGCGCATCAAGATGACTCGAAACGGCCGATCCCGCCACACTGCTTTTCGATCGTAATATTCACCCGATCGAGCTGAGATCAAGATGGCGAGCGGGAATAAGATCGAATATCACGAAAAAAATGCTAGAGCTCTAACGAATGTTCAAATTTTGAGAACATGATTTTCAAATAAGCATAAGTCATCAAAAGTTCCATCGAGATTTTTCGAGCCAACTGGGCGCCGGCGGTAAACCGTCAACCTTTGTTACCGCCGGGAACTCGTAGAGCTTCCTGACAACATATAATGTCTAAAAAATACACTGCAAAAAATAGTTTTTCAGCCCAAGCAATTTCAGACCTCTCGGATGCAACAGCCGAACGCCCCCGATGCTTCTGGATTGTCTTCTGTACGAGCTCTGTAGCTCTCCTACAGCCCGAGTTACGTGCGTAAATATGACTCGAACAATACGAATACTTTGGCAAATCCAGCTCGAGTATCAGACCGAGTTCAGACCTCTGCATGCGACAGGCGGACGCGTCTGATGTCTCTGAATCGATTCCTGTGATTACCAGCCCTGCAGCCCCCCCTACAGCCCGAGTTAAGTGCAGGAAACCGACAGCACCTCTCAGCATGACTCGAACAATACAAATAGTTTTGCGTACCTAGTTCGGGCAGCAGACAGAGTTCGGAGCTCTGGATTCGGCAGGCGGACGCGCCTGATGTCTCCGAATCGATTCTAGTGATTACCAGCCATGCAGCCCCCTACAGCCCGAGTTCAGTGCAGAGAACCGAGAGCACTTCTCAAGATGACTCGAACAATACGAATAGTTTCGCGATTCTAGATCGGGCAGCAGACCGAGTTCAGAGCTCTGGATTCGACAGACAACGGCCACTGATGATTCTGAATCAGATTCTGTACGTATCAGCTTTGCAGCTGTCCTGTAGCTCGAGTTAAGTGCAGGAAACCGAGAGTGTCTGTCAAGATGACTCGGATAATACGAATAGGTTTGCGGACCTAGCTCGGCTAGCAGACCGAGTTCAGACTTCTAGATTCCATAGGCGAGCGCGCCTGATCATTCTGAATCGATTAGCTGTGCTTACCAGCTCTGTAGCTGTCCTGGAGCTCGAGTTATCTTGAGAAAACCGTCCCCGCGTGACAAGATGACTCGAAACAGCCGATCCCGCCCGTGTGCTTTTTGGCAGTAAAAGGTACCCGATCGAGTTGAGATCGAGATGGCGAGCGGGAATAAGATCGAATATCACGGGAAAAAATACTAGAGCTCAAACGAATTGTTGAATTTCGAGAACCAAATTTTCAACCGACCAAAAGTCACCAAAAGGTCCGTCGAGATTTTTCTTGCCAACTAGCTCTCAAGCGCCCCGGAATTACTCTTAAGCTTCCAGCAACAACTTGCTAAGGGAAGCTCTACGAGTTACTAGCCCGCCAGTGCGTCCGAGCTGGGCGCCGGCGGTAAACCGTCAACCTTGGTTACCGCCGGGAGACTCGTAGAGCTTCCTGACAACATATAATGTCGAAAAAAATACAGAGAACGAATACTCTTTCAGCCCAAGCGATGTCAGACCTCTCGATGCAACAGCCGAACGCTCCTCATTCTGGATCGTTTTCTGTGCGCACGAGCTCCGTAGCTCTGCTACAGCCCGAGTTACGTGCGAAAATCGACAACACCTCCCAAGATCACTCGAACAATACGAATAGTTTCGCGAATCTAGCTCGAGTATCAGACCGAGTTCAGACCTCTGAATGCAACAGGAGGACGCGCCTGATGTCTCCGAATCGATTTCTGTGATCAACAGCCCTGCAGCCCCCTTACACCCCGAGTTAAGCGCAGAAATCGACTGCATGAAGATGACTCGAACAATACGAATAGTTTCGCGGACCTAGCTCAGGCAGCAGACCGAGTTCAAAGCTCTCAATGCGACAGCCGGACGCGATGGATCACTGCGAATCGATTCCAGTGATTATCAGCCCTGCAGCTCCCTTACAGCTCGAGTTAAGTGCAGAAAACAGACAGCACCTCTCAAGATGACTCGAATACGAATAATTTGCGGACGCAGCTCGGGCAGCACACCGAGTTCTGAGC